ACACGTTCTCTGGCCCCAGCGCCGATGCCTCGGGCGTTTATCCCGGGGAGAGAGCGCCCTCTTCACCTGGGGTCAGTGAGCGATGTGCGCCCCGGTGAACGGGAAGGTCAGGGGGAGTTGGACTGGGGACCGCAGTGCACTAGACCTTCCCGCACTGGCCCAGGGGACGCAGAAGGTTACTTGCTGGTCCCCTTCCCTCTGGGGCCTTTTCAACGACTATTTGGAGTCCTTAGCTTGATTGGGAATTGATGGTTAAGGTGAACATTTCGGTTACCGCTGGTCTCCCCAGCTCCCTGACACGGTCCCGGCGGGCACCCTGCCCCCGCCCTCGCGTGCCCTGAGCATCTTTTCGGGACCTTGGAGACTTCTGCGCATGTTCACAAACTGGAGACAGTACCGACTTGGAATTGCTGGACAGAAACAAGTGGCTAACATTCAAACAAGTGCCTCGTTTAAATGTGAGGTTCTCCCGAGTTAACACAAATATTCAGGTTGTGTTGAAGATGTGCCCTTTTTAAAAAAAAAAAAAAAAATCAGTTATCCCCTCCTCCACTGGCAACACTGTAAACCACACTGAACTTTTATTTATCACCGCTTCAGAAAAATGAAGGTGCTGAATTTACCTGAATGTTGGGCCTCTACCGAAGCACATTTGTCTTGTCCTTTAAAAACTTCACAGCGTAGTTAAGGTTGGAAGTTATTTTGCACAGGAGGGCACCATGACATTGAAATAGTAATAAACCAGGTTTGCAAGTGTTGTCTAATCTCTTACCTTTTGAATTATGTTTCAGAGGGGAAACTCTTGTCTGGTGATGTGACTCATTACATGATCCCCGATTGGAAAGTTGTTCAAGATTACCTCGAGATCCTTGAGTTTCCTGAATTAAAGGGAATTATTTTCATGCAAACAGCTTGTCAAGCTGTGCAGCATCAAAGAGGCCGGAGGTACCTGTTTTGCATTATTTATTTATGGCGTTGATGCACCCACACACACACACCTTTTTTTTTTTTTAGAAAAGATCCTTTGTTGCAGGGGGAGGGGATGCATTTATTATTTTGTCAGAAAATATTTTTTGAACTAATTTAGTATTCTCTTTGCTGGTAGGAATGCAATAACATTATTTTATATTTCTGCTTCAACATCTGTCCAAAAGATCTGACTGTAGATCAATAAGCTACAGTGTCCCCAGTATTGGGTATTTAAGATTCTTGGCTTTTGGTTTACATTTTATAGCAGTTATTGCTTATTTCTTGTTGATAACGCACATTATTTAATCTTCTTATTTATAGATCTATTGTTTCAGATGCTTACTTTTTATTCCCTTGGAGAAAAGTACTTTACTTTTAAATTTTAGACTCCGTTATGGTAGATACAAATCGTATTTGTAGTGATTTATTCAATGAAATCAGAAATAACTTGTTTTATTTTTAGGTTACTAGTATAACTACCAACCATAGTAATTGTATTTGCTAAACAAAGGATTTTTTTATTAAAATCAGTCTAAAATGCTTGCCTTGTACCTTTTAAACAAATGCTCAAAAATTGGTTTTGTTTCACTTAACATTGGGAAAAGATTTATGATTTGAACTTGAAGCCTCATGCTGTATGGAAACAGCATACAGTATTACAAACTATATATCCAGACTCTTAACAGCCCAAGTCATTTAAAAAGCAGAAACTATGCATTTATTCTTTTTTAAATGTTGTAGTTTCTTCAGATCTTGGTCGTAAAAGATGAACTGTGTTTATTTGTATATGAAAATGATAAGTTGTCCTTATTATATGCTCAGTTCCAAAAAATATGCATTAACTAGATTGTGTGCAGGTTTTTCAGACAGAATATTTTTAAATGAGCTTGAAGTTGATTTTGTTCAGACAGAAAGATATAGATGTTTATACACATTCAGATTTAAATGCTGCTCTAGGTGTCGTATTTCAATTTCTGCTACTAAAATCAATTTGTTGTTATCATTCAGATTGCTAACACACTGCAGAGCCTTTTCAGCTTCTGTTTTCTAAAATATTTTTAATATTAAGGATTGTTTTTAAAACCAATTGCTGGGACATTAAAAAACAAAGAATTGGGATTTAAATGTCTTTTCTCCTGAACATTTCAAAAGTAGTTAACTTGATGAAAAACTATTGGTTTTTCTATCACTTTACCATGTCTATGAATATACTAAATGTGAAAACAAAAGATGAGTTATGAAGTAGGCCATAAGATAACATCCTGGTTTTCCCATTTGGTAAGCACTTTTTGAGCCCCTAGTTTCAGGCCTTCTGGAGTAGTACAAAGTCTTAGTTCCTTTCTCAACAGACCTATTGTCTTGTTGGGGTCGGATGCAAGAAGCAAGAAGGTAATTATGACACACCTTAGACACAGGTGGGATAATTTAATGTGGATTATACGAAGTGCAGAAGTATATATGGGGTGTGGGGATTAAGCTACAAAGTCCTCTGAAGGGGTTAGAGACTGGTCTTAAAGGAGGGATAATGAACATGATTGATGTCGAGAAAAAAGAGGCAGGAAAGGAATCAGCAAGTTTGGGACTTAGTGCTTTGTTTACCTGTTAAGCAACCAGCTGGTGTGTGCAGATTGACATAGCTAAATGACCTAAGCCCTAGAAAGTGTCGTATGTTGAAAGCTAACTTTAGAATTGATGATAGCTGTTGAATAGATAACATCCAGGAGTTTGCTTTATTAATCTGGCATTCATAAGTGTTCAAAATGGCCTGTTTCATTAGTGTATTGTACAAAAGTGTAAGTCATTTGACTTTTTATATTTAACCAAATGTGGCCTAACAGAAGCTCTGTGGTGTTTGTTCATTTAATGTTGGGAAACATTTTGTTTTGTTTTTCTGTTCTTCCTTGGGAATTTTTAAGATGCTAGTAAATAATTTTTTATATGCTTTTAGGAACAGTATTGCTTAGGAAAGCTTTGTCAATTAAAAATACCTGCTCTGGCTAGAGCCGGTTTGGCTCAGTGGCTAGTGTTAGGTCTCCGAAGGAGGAATGCACCAGGCCAAAGTAGTGAGGGATTACAAATTTATTTGATCATCCGCACAGCAGGTGGCTGAGCCTGGATGGCTCCAGCACCAGTGAGGGGAGTCAGCGGCTTTTAAAGGACTTTTGGCGGGATTTTTCTGGGTGGAGACTTCTTTATGCATACCCCGAGGGGAGAGAATGGCATGTGGTCACTGCAAGTGTAAAGTGGTCTCAGCAAAGAGAATGTCCATAGTGAAATGACCTGAAAAGCCAGTTCCTGGGGGAAGGGCATCAACTCAATTGCTCCATCAAACCTAACAGTTAGAGTGTCAGCCTGCAGACTAAAGAGTCCTGGGTGGATTCCAGTCAAGAACAGGTGCCTCAGTTGCAGGCTTGATCCCGGGCCCAGGGGGTGCATGCGGGAGGCAACCAGTCAGTGTGTTCTCTCTCTGTCTCTCCCCCTCCCTTCTACTCTATTAAAAAAAAAAAAAATCAATGGAAAATATCCTCGGGTGAGGATTAACAAAAAATAAAATAAAAGTCCTGCTCTGGTCTAGTGTCTAGTTTAAGGATGCCTTGCTTTCTCCTTTTGACCCCCCCTTTCTGATTTCTTCTGTATAGCTTCAGAGTCTCAATAGTTCGTGCCTAGTTCCTCAATATATATCATAAGATAGGAATCATGGACTATTATAGTCGAAGAGGATCTAAGAGGATCTATCCCTATCCAATACATCAGTGTTACTCAACATGAGTAATATCACTGACTTTGTTTCTAAAAGAAAACATTTCTCATGGACACACAGTGTTAATTTAAATTATTTTGTTGTATGACTATTTAAATATCTTTAAACATAAATCTAGGTGTAAGTCCTCATGCTTAAGTACTTAATACAACACTAAGACCAAATAGAGCCCTAGCCAGTTTGGCTCAGTGGATAGAGCATCTGCCTGTGGACCAAAAGGTCATGGGTTTGATTCTGGTCTAGAGCACATACCTTGGTTGCAGGCGCCTCCCTGGCCCAGGCCCTCCCTGGTCGGCTTGTGCAGGAGGCAACCAATTGATGTATTTCTCTCTGTCTTTCCCTCTCTCTTCCACTCTCCCTAAAAATCAATGGAAAAATATGCTAGGGCGAGGATTAAGAAAACAAAACAAAAACTCAAACCTTCAAATTCAATAAACAAAACTGTAAAATCAGAAAACTGCAAATGAACATTAATTTAATGTGACAGATGACATTAATTTACTGAAGTGAAATTACCAGAGTTGGAGAGAGACATAGCTCTAATCTGCTCCTGTATTTAATATGACTTTGGGTTTTTTTTATTTAAATAATATTGATGCGGAAAAATGGCCTGGTCTCATTAGTATATTATACAGAACAGTATGAAAAGTTAAGGTTTTGATTGTTCAGGATAATCACACATTGTGCCATCTAACAATCCTCAAATGATTATTTAATGGGGTTTCTTGATAACTCTGTAAGGCTGTCTTGTTGACCACATTCATTCACAGGTGTTTGTTTTTTTATTCAACAAATCTTTATTGAAAGACTATAGGTTCCAGAAACTGCCAGCACTGGACACAGTAGTGAACAAAAGTAGAGATGGTCTTGAGGGGAACAGGCAGTATCAGGTAAACAGATGGAGAACTGCAGCTGTGACAGGTGCATTGAAGGCCAGGTACAAGGCTCCAGGAGAGCCAGAAGTCATCAGGGAGACGGGAAAGGCTTTCCTGAGGGCGGTGCCTCTACTGAGCTCTGAGGGATGAGTGGGTATAAACCAGAGAAAAGCTTCCCAGGTGAGGAAACTGCTGTGCAAGGTCATAGGGAAGGGAATGCTGCTCAAGGAACATAAAGAAGGCCCTGGATTGGATGGTAGACCTCAGGGCCTCAGGGATGTCAGTGAAAGGTCTTAAGCAGGGTGAAATGACATAATTAGATTGCTGTTTTGAAAAGATGCCTGGGCCAGTGGAGAAAAGGCAGGCAGAAGACAGGAGGCTGTTGCTTTAGTTCAGACAAGAGATGTTGATAGCTTAGAGATGGAGAGAAATAGACATTTCAAATAGCTATTTAGTAGGTAAAATCTATAGAACTTCCTAAGTATGTGACCAAGAGAATTGAAAATATGTCCACGCAAAAACTTGTACATGAATGTTCATAGCAGCTCTCCTTATATTAGCCCAAAAAAAATGGAAAAACCCAATGTCTATCAGTTGCTGAATGGTTACATAAAATGTGGTTTATTCATGCAAAGAAATATTAGTCAGCCATAAAAAGGGATGAAGAACTGGTACATGCCACAACTAGATGAACCATGAAAATATTATTCTAAGTGAAAGAAACTAACCACACAGAAAAATTATATAGTGTATGATTCTACTTATATAAAATGTCAGAATAGGTAAATCCAAGAAACAGAAAGTAGATTAGTTAGGTTGCCAGGGGTTGGGTGTCAGGGGAAATGGAGAATGACTGCTTAATGGGTATTTTTCTTTTGAAGGTGATGAAATGTTCTGGAATTAGATCGTGGGCATGGTTACATAACTCAGTGACTATACTAAAAACCATTGAAATGAACATTTTAAAGGGTGAATTTTATGGTATGTGAATTATATCTCAATAAAGCTGTTACTTTTTTAAAAAAAAACCTGTAGAACTTAGTATGGATTTAGGTAAGTGAGGTGAGGAAGAAGGTGGTGTCAAGGATAACGCTAAGCTTTCTGGCTTATGTAAGTGGATGGAGCGAGGATGCACCCAGGAGGTCTAAGGGGGAGGGGCAGAGAGAGGTCTTGAGTTTGAAGTGTCTGAGGCTGCCAGGAGGGCAGGCGCTGACCGCAGAGGGTACTGCAGTTAGAAGGCAGTCATTCAGCTGGTCCAAAAGATACTCTGTTAGAAATGTTTTAAGAGTATCACCTAATATAAATGGAAACATAAAATTCTTGTAGAAAACTCAAGGACCTTTGAAAGTAAGTCTACTAGACCCTACCAAGGTTCTGGGGAAACTGGTTGAAGTAACACAATGCTGAATGCACAACTCACTTCCCCACTGATTGTGGGACACCCACTTCTAATCCCCAGAGAGTATAGTCAGCAGGGGGATGGGGTGAAGGGATGTTGCATCTGTGAGATCACCTTGAATAAAAATAGTAAAAAAAAAATCAATTTAAAGAAGGTAAGTTCAGCCCCACTAAGAAATTGTTTGAAATGTTTTTGATAATAGAGATTTGGAAAACACTGAAGCCAGTCCAGGGAAACCAGGGGTTTTCTGTAAGACTGGAATTTTTAAAACTTAAGATAATTTAATTGTACTTCACTGTCTAAAACTATTATTCTCTGATCATTCAGGCCAAACTTGTTCAAGGCACCATGGATGTTCTTTGCTGGTTCCATGCGAGTTTCTCAATTCTACTAGTATAATGTGCACTGCCAACCCTGACTAGCAAAAAAAATGACTGTATTGTATGTGTGCACTATTAAATTATAACCATGAGCCCCCATGCCTACAAGAAAACCCAAATGTCACACTCAGACTGATTCCCTGTTTCTTTCCTGCTTTCCCCGTTAATAGTCTTATGCCATTTGTTTGTTTTATCCAGCTGATAGGTAGTTGACAAATGGAAGCACACTCAAAATCTAAGGAAAATATAAGGGGATGAAACTTAAAATTGAGAAAATTCTTTTTTAAGTTATGTAATTTTCTAAACATTAGGAAGAATTATCTTTCTTCTCATTTGGTGCTAAACCCCCTGGATCTGGCTTATAGAACAAGAACATCAGTATTTGGGAAGGACAGGATTTGAGAACACCTGGGTCAAAAATGCAGTGGCCAAACAAATGCTGTGTTGTGTAGGAAGCCTAGCAAAAGAGTAACTGGGTTCTGAAAATGTCAGTTTCTTCTGAGGAATATCTTGTATTGGATCACTGTTGTCACAAAGGTTGTGAGTTCATTGATTCATTTGGAAAACGTTTATTGAGCACCTATTTTGGATTGAGCACTGAAGATACAAAGATGAACCAGACTGTCTGCTGTCTTGAGCATCTGTACCCTCTCTCCTCCCTTGGGCCCTTGGTCTGGCTAACTTCCATTCATCCTTCAGGACTCAAGTGTTGCCTCCTCCCAGATGCCTTCCCCATCCCTCTCATGTTCTTGTCACACCCCAAACTTTGCCTTTCATGGCACTTGTCCCACTAAAATGGGCAGTTCTGTTTTTTGTTTTATTTTGTTTTACCAATTAGTATAGCTATTTTTTAAAATTGTGGTCAATTATATATAACATAACATTTGCCATTTAAAAGTGTACAGTTCAGTGACATTGAGTGCTTTCCTGTTATCCACCAATCTCCAGAACTTATTTCATCTTCCCAGACTGAAACTCTACCCCCATTAGTCACTAACTTCCAACTCTTCCCTTCCCCATCCCCTGGCAACCACCATTCTACTTCCTGTCTGTAAGTTGACTACTCAGGGAAATTCATATACGCAGACGCATACAGCACTTCTGTGCCAGGCTTACTTCACTCGGCATCATGTCTTCAAGTTTTATCCATGTTATAGCATGTACCAGAACTTCCTTTTTAAGGGTGAATGATATCCCATGGTACATACAGATATATAGCACCTTCTGGTTTTTCCATTTACCTGGCAAAGGACACTTAGGTTGCTTCCAGTTTTGGGCTATTGTGAGTAATGCTGCTCTGCACAGGGGTGTACTAATATCTTTTGAGACCCTGCTTTCAATTCTTGGGGGTCTCGACCCAGAAGTGGGATTGCTGGGTCTTTTGGTAGTTCTCGTTTTTATTTTTATTTTATTTTATTTCATTTCATTTTTTTTTTGAGGAAGGGGTGGTTCTGTTGTGTTTACCATGAGCAGGACTGCTTCAGACAAAGGACAGCAGTGAGATGTCTGGGTGGAGACGCCTGAGGGCATGCAGTGGAGCAAAAGACTTGGCACATGGAAGAGTGCAGCAAAAATTTGCTGGAAGAAGGATGTTGAATAAGGGGGATGATTTGTAAACAAATAATTGCACTAAGTTCAGGTGCTTTATTGGGAGTGTATAAAATGTGACGGTAGATAAAGGGAACACAAACTATGGAGGATATGATCAGGAAAAATGGGCAGTATGTTTTTGGTGTTTCCTCTGAAATAATAAATTGTAGATGTTTATGAAGCCTCTTCTAAAATATTTCTTATTGCTTAACAAATAAATGCTGATTTGAAAAAATTCATGCATGACAGAAATGTGTAAAGCAGAAAGTAAAAGTCTTGGCCTCACCGGTCTGCAGGGATGATCACTGTTGACAGGTGGTGTAGACTCTTCTGTGCATAATCTAAGAGATTTTAAAAATGATTTTCAGTGTATCTGTGAACATGGGAAAATTACCGATTTAGTGGGTTCTAGGCATTTTGGGGTGGGGCAGCTTTTTCTGCACAGTGGGATCTGTTAAGGAAAGCTGCCATCCACAGAAGTGAAAATCAATCCCTTTGTTTATTAGGGAATTATAAGTTGTATTATTTGATGATTCAAATAATGTTTTTTATGTTGGCTCAGTTTTCGATTACTAAGAAAAGAAAATCAGTGTTTCTTGTTTTCTAATGAAATGTTGAGGCCATGCAGATAATGGTGGTTAGCATTTATTTGGAGAGTTCTGCCTTTGCTTTCATGAAAAGACTAATTTCTTAAAAACCCATGGTGGCAACCTGGTGGTGGGAATGGAAGGGCACAAATTTTATTATACTAAATAATAACAAGTCATCGACCTTGGATAATTTTTATGTTAATTTAATATCTGGTTTAATATCAATCTCTTTTTAAATAAACATTGTCTTCCTGAGAAATAACTAAATATTCTGTAGTCCACATTACCCCGACTATTGAAAAGCACCTTCTCAGAAATTGACCCGTATAAGACCTCATATTTGATTTGTGACTTGGACTAACGTTGGAAGGATCTCCTGATGAGAAACCTTAAAACTCTCTGTTAGTTCTCTGACAGGTGAAGCTGGCCTCACTCATGTAAATGACGTGGCTGCATAAATAAAATTTACAGATAAATTCCCATACCTAGTTTTCTAGGGCTGCCAGCAAAAAGCAAAAGGTACTAATGCCTAATGCCTAATGCCACTTAGAGAACAAAGTGAGGTACAAAAGTAAAGTGCAAAAGCCTGCTGGCCGCTGTGCCCTCCGTGAGCCTTTGAAGTGGGGGCTCTGTGGGGCAGCGTCATGTAATTACATAATAAATGGCCAGAAGTCCCAGAAGGAGGAAGAGGTCTAGAGGGGCTGGATTGATCCACAGACTAATTAATGAGGCCCTGCCCAGGCACATTCTAGCAGACAGAAATTGAGAAAGAGCAGCCCAATGATACTGTGCACACTAAGGCCAATATTAAATAAATGGTTCTCAGGTTTTAAATGATCCATCTTTTTCTCTAAACTGCCTCATCTTTTTTGATCCTTAGCAAGAGCTGGCAGTAGATGAGTACCTGCTATGTTAGATTTATTTTTCTCCTCTGTGTCACAGACAGTATAATAAATTGCGAAACCTCCTGAAGGATGCGCGTCATGATTGCGTTCTCTTTGCTAATGAATTCCAGCAATACTGCTATCTCCCTCGGGAAAGAGGAGAATCCATGGAAAAGTGGCAGACCAGGTATGGCACTGAATTGCTGTGAGTGTTCATATGATCTTCTGTAATTTCTTTGTCATTGGCTATTTGGGCATTAAGCGGTATGCTAAAATCAACAATTATTCTGGAACCATGATTAATGTTGAACTGCTTACCATGTCAATATTTTAGATATGTCAGTTGAATACCTAATTGATCTATTTTAGAAGTTACAATTAGGGAGGTTATACCCAGAGTAAGTTTGCCCCAGACCTTAATAGCTAGCAGGGTCATTCCAGTGATCCAAACATCATCACTTTAATGCTTGTGTGTGGGAAGACGGGGAGTCCTACTCTTAAGCTAAGATCTCAGTTTTTCTGGCATAGCTCTATTATCCCAGCCAGTCTTATTAAGCTGAAACTGGCAGGTTAATTCCAGTAGATCTGTTTCAGGAAGACCTGTGTCATAGTTTAGATCCACCTAAAAGCAGAGCCTGAAGCAAGGACTTGGTGTGAGTTGTTTACTTCTGAGGCAATTCCCATAAGCAGGACTGAGGACGTAGGGAGAGTGAGACAGAGGAGGGAACACAGGAAAGGATGTTAATGCTGCGGAGACCGAGGCTCCGTCCTGCTGGGATCCTCTGAGAAGCTGAGGAGCATGTACCTAAGAAGTTACCTCGAAGGTCGGAGGCTAGGGCTTTGAGTTAGTGCCCCCTTTAGCTTTTTAGGATATGCTTTTTCATTTATTTTTAGAGAGAAGGGAAGGGGGAGAGAGAAACATCCATCTGTTGGCGCCCATATCCGCCCTGACCCGAATTGAACCTGCAACCGAGGTATGTGTCCTGATCCGGAACCAAACCCGTAACCTTTTGGTGTATGGGAGGTCGCTCCAAGCAACTGAGCCACCCAGCCGGGGCTTGGTTTATCGTTTAAGCCTCACATAGCTTGTCATCCATGTGGTGCTGTGTCACTCAGCCCTCTGATTAAGAAGTGTTAGCAGATGGCAGAACCTCATAGGATTTAGGCCGTATGAAGAAATGAAAGAGATTGGAGTGGTGGTTGGATGTCGTAGGGAAAAGAGATGACAAGCACTTTTTGATTCATCTTTGTGTCCCCCAGAGTACCCAACCCGGGGTGTATTTATAATGGTGCTCAGGAAGTGTTTGTTGAGTGGATAGTTCGCTGTATAAACCAAAGGATAGCAGATCGAAAGTAAGATATAAAATTCTGAGTAAGAGCTTGTGTTTGAGGGCTCACCTGCCCTTTGCTTTTCTAGGAGCATATACAATGCAGCCGTTTGGTACTATCACCACTGCCAGGACAGGATGCCCGTCATTATGGTGACGGAAGATGAAGAGGCTGTTCCACAGTATGGAAGTGAAACAGAAGGAGTGTTTGTGATTTCTTTCAAGGTATTTCCAGCTGGTGTGTGTGTGTGTGTGTGTGTGTTCATTTCCTAAGTAGTTCCCAGAGCACTCTAGATCCCTTTGGCAATATAGGAAAGGGAAAATAAAGAATGAAGGAAGACTTGAAGAAGTTCCATATCTTCATTACTCCCCAGCTAATTAATCTTGACTTTTGCAAATCTGGGCAAACTACCTGTGACTAAGGCCTACAGCATCCGAGACCTCAGTCCAACAAGCCCCTGTTGACAGAAACTTATGTAGTTTCAGCAATAACAATATTAGTGATGATGATGATGATAATAGGTTGAATCTTATAAAATTGCCACTGTTCTGTTGTTGTGACCTACAAAATGGCGATTTTACATAGTTCCACCAACTAGCAATAGCCGACATATCTATGCCACACACTGTTCTAAGTGTATTACTTCATTTAATTCTGGCAATAACCCAGGGAGGTACGTGTTATCATCCCCATTTTATTGGTGAGGAAGAAAACTAAAGCACAGAAAGGCTAAGCAACTTGCCCAAGGTCACATGGGTAGAAAGTGGTAGAACTGGGATTAGAACCCAGGCAGTCTTTATTCCAAAGCTCTTAACTATCATGCTTTACTGCCTCCCAAATAATTCCTCTGAATACACATAAAACAGTTTTAAAGGCCAGTCTAGTTTCTTCACTCTGCCCCACTTATGAATATGCATGGGGGTTGAGAGACTGAAGGAAGGGGTGAGACATGATATTGTTTATATGAGGGCTGTTGGATCAGTTTGGTGTACAGATCACAGGAAGGAGCAGCATTCTCGGTGACAGGTTCTTGGGCCGTCTTAGCAACACAGTTCTCCTATTTCGTAGGTACCTTTTGGGACAGTAGGATGAGTATTAATCTCTCCGTTGATTACTTGTCTCTTCTGTCTGCCCAGTTGGTCAATCAAGTTCCAATGGTTGATATCTTTTTTTGATTGAGAGACTAGAATGAGGCCCTCCATTACCCCTGTCAGTTTACAGAAAGTCTAGTTGGATTTCAAATTGTAGATTCTATAAGTGTTTCAAGGTGTGTGTATTGCTAAAGATTTGCCAATAGAATTCTCTTGGCCCCACTATAAAAAGTGTTCTGGCGTGCCAGTGAATTCCAGGGCACTGGATATTAATGGCCGTGTCACTTATTTTTTCTGTTGCAATACATCATGTCTTGTTCCTACAGAGGACAGTTGACTAAAATTACATTTTTCTGCTTTTTGTGAAAATTGCTTTTCTTTGTAGTTCAGTGGTATAGTACAGTTTTATTTTGTATAGCATCTCCTAAGCAAACTCCTCTGTGACGAGGGCTTCATAGAAGTGAATGATAACAGGAGAATGGAGATACTGTGAAGATCATGTGTGAAGGAAGCCCAGAATTTTCTGTGGGGACTTGAAGTTAGATGGGGAAGAGCGAAGGCGATAAACCCTCTGGAATAGGTGGTTTATCATAGTAAAAGTTAATCTTGGTAACTTTTATGCCTTCTCTTTATAAATTCAAACCTTGGATAAAAGTACTGTAAATTTTTCTGCAAAATTTATTGATTTACATAAAGTCCTTAATTTATATAGAATTTGCTGAATTGGAGACCTTTGGATGAATTTATTTTATTTTATTCATTTTCTTTTGTTTAAAGCCTGTTGCTTTTTTTAAAATCACTTCTAAAAAAAAAGTAAATAAAAAAATAAAATAAAATCACTTCTAATCATTTAATGTAATTAGTTACAATTTAGTTTAGATTCATGTGTGGGGTTGTTGTTGTTTTTTTTGCAATTTAGGAGTAAGACTTTTATTTTTAAACTAGAGGCCCATTGTGCGAATATTCACGCAATAGCCTTCCTTCCTTCCCCTGGCTGCCGGCACCGGTTTTCCTCCGGCACCTGGGACCCAGGCCTTTGGTCTGGCCGCAGCAGAGAAGCCAAGCCTCTTCAGTCTTCAGTCGTCTTCAGTCTTCACTCCATGCCTGTGTATGCAAATTAACCCACCATCTTTGTTGGGTTGATTTGCATGCTCATCCTGATTGGCTGGTGGGCATAGCAGATGACCAATTTACATATTTCTCTTTTATTAGTGTAGATATATTTTAATTGATTTCAGAGAGGAAGGGAGAGGGAGAGAAAGACAGAAGCATCAATGATGAGAAAGAATCACCAATGGGCTGCCTTCTGAATGCCCCCTACTGGGGATCGAGCCCGCAACCCAGGCACTCAGGTACCTGGGCACGTGCCCTGACCAGAAGTCAACCATGTCCTCCTGATTCATAGGTTGACCCTCAACCACTGAGCCAGATTGACCAGGCAGACTTTTTTATCAGTACTTTTTCCTTGATGTTTTAGCTATAAAACATTTATTTGTTTTGTCAATGAACATGTTAAGTTGTACTGTGGCTTATGCAACAGCTATCACTTAAGCAAGCCTTATTTTCAATTAGCACTAAAACAGACCACTGTATATTCACTTCTCACCGAGTTGCCCATTTTGTTTCATACCACTCACATTCTTGTTTTAAATGTCTTTTAACAGTTCACTTTACAGTGCTGTTTACTGAAGTTATTTGTTAAATAAAAATGCATAAATTTAAACACACACATACTTAAGCAGACAACTTTTACCAAGGCTCCTGTAACTTCTGGTGTCTTTCCTGACCCCTCTCACACAATTTTCTGAATTATGTTTTCCACCTTACCCAGCTGCACCACAAGAGCAACTGCCACTAATCCTAAGTAAACATTTCCTATTCGCCTTAGGAAGAACCAAACCCAGCTTTTACCAAACCTTTGGTATCTGAGGCTCATACTCATGATGTGCAACAGTTGCTTTTTTTTAGCAGAGACTAATTCTTGGTGCTAATAAATGATAAGTGACCACAGAATTGGGGTACCAATGTTAGCACAGAAAGAACTTCTGGGAGGACTAGGGTAAGAAAGGAAGTAGTTTGAACAGGACCCTGAAATTAGTGGGAGAAAAGCTAGAGTTAACAAGGATCATTTATTTTCTTTTTAAGCACAGAAAGAGAATGCTAGATCCTACCTTAGACTTAAAGTTGAATTAATGCCCAGCCGGTGTTGCTCAGCATTACCCTATAATCCAAGAGATTTGATTCCCAGCCAGGGCACATGCCCGGATTGCTGGATCGATCCCCAGTGTGGGACCTGCAAGAGGCAGCCAATCAATGATTCTCTCTGATCATTGATGTTTCTATCTTTCCCTCTCTCTCTCTCTCTTCTCTCTCTCTCTCTCTCTCTCTCTCTCTCTCTCTCTCTCTCTCTCTCCCTCCCTCTTCTCTCCCTCTCCCTTCTTCTCTGAAATCAATAAATATTTTTTTAAGTTGAATTAAAAATCCTATCAAAATTTGATTTTGTTTAGTGAGAGTCGGCCATTTGAGGGAGTGTTCCCTGGACACACAGAGTAGAACTAACACAGCTAACCTCACCCACCACACCGTCCTCTTGTGCGTGATCACCTTGGGGTTTTGTCCAGGGCCTTTCTGAAAGAACTACGCCAAGATGTTCAATGATATTTGGTAATATCGGTGGGGACTCTGGCCACTTGCTTCAGAGTTATGTTCATACCAGGTCATCACACTAATGGCAACTTCAAGTATCATTTACATGAGGAGTGTTACTACATCTGTGGACAGTCTGAGAAGAAGGCTCAGTCTTCTGGGAGCTTATGAAGTGAGGGAAAGCCTAACACCAAAGAATACCAGTACTTTGCTCACTTGACTTTCCCCGCTCTCTGCTCATTTGACATTGCCAGTGGATTGAGGGCAGGGAGACATTTTCTTATGCACTTTACTTCTTGCCATGTTTATGTTCTTAAGTTTCTTATAAATTCCAAACATTGCAGGGTATTAAAAAAAGAAGATAGGAGCTTTTTCTATCCATTCATTATAGGCCATTAGCTGCAGCAGTGACATGCCAGGCAGACTGTTGGTGTGTATATGCCTGTCTGTGGAGAGAGAGAAGGAGATTTGAAAGTTCAGAGTAATCAGGGAGGTGGAAGGGTTCCATGGAAGAACAGCCTCCCTGGGGTTCATTGGCAAGGCTTCAGGGGTTAATGAGATGGCAGGAAGTGAACTGGTAGCATGAGGTTTAGGAAGGTAATGCTCATTTGACACATCTTCAAAACTGCATGCTGGCCATTCCTGTTTGGGATTGTTTTATAATGCTACTATAATGAAGAGTTACTCTCTTCTGACCATGTTTCTCTTGTGCCTCCATTGAGTGCAGAATTACCTGGACAATTTTTGGCCTGATTTAAAAGCCGCCCACGAGCTTTGTGACTCTATCCTTCAGTCTCGGCGGGAAAGAGAGAATGAGAGTCAGGAGAGCCACAGGAAGGAGTACCCCGAACACCTTCCCCTGGAAGTGTTAGAAGCTGGCATTAAGTCCGGACGCTATATCCAGGTGAGGTGGTCATGAGGAGTGCGCAGCAGGACCGGCCAGTGTGTGCTCTTCCTGTCTCCTGTCAGGGGTGTCTAATGTCAAAGGCTGTAAACAAGATGGGTGGGTATGAGCAAGCCCAGGCCAGCGATGTTTAAGGTGCTTTGGGAGTCATTCTTCCTGTAGGCGTGGCTGTCTGGTTGGAACTGCTCTGCCATGTTCTTAATTGGATTACACATTGAGCATCACACGAGTAACCTGGTAAACACCTTCTATCACTGGGAAAGGGAATGTATTTTTGAATCAGGGTCTGGAGGTTTGGCAAAATTGTGAAATTTGGCTTCTTCACTCCTTTGTCATTTTTTTCACCCCTTTCAAGGGCCCTTTATGACCCCCCCCAGAACTTAGAAACCCATATGCTTTCAGGGTCTTGAGAATAAAGCAGATAAAATTATTCAGATTTTAAGTTTTGCATGTACTCGTGTGTGTGTGTTTCTGTGCAGTTTTATCACATGGTTAGATTTGTGTGTCTACCTCCACAATCAAGATACAGAATTGTTCTGTCTTGGATTTTACATTTTTATTTTTTTTTAATATATTTTATTGATTTTTTTTACAGAGAGGAAAGGAGAGAGATAGAGAGTTAGAAACATCGATGAGAGAGAAACATCGATCAGCTGCCTCCTGCACACCTCCCACTGGGGGTGTGTCCGCAACCAAGGTACATGCCCTTCACCTGAATCGAACCTGGGACCTTTCAGTCCGCAGGCCGACGCTCTATCCACTGAGCCAAACCGGTTTCGGCGGATTTTACATTTTTAACAAACTACTCAGATTACTTCTATGCGGGCAGAAATTTGAGAATGCAACACTGAATTCCTTCCCTTAAGTGTGGGCATTTTAAATTAATATACCTAGAAGGACTAATTCTTCCAACTTGGGAGTAAATTTCACAACGTTCTTGGGAGAGTACTTTGAGAAAGAAGGTTTTTAAAGACCACTCATCGCTTAGGTAAGATAGATCCTGGCACTTTCAACACTTGGTATAGCTAAGAATAGTTCAAAATGATGGTGTATTTTCTGGAGAAAAGAAACTTGAGGTGATGAATATTAGTCCAAAACAAAGGGATCACGGACCTTATAAGAGTATTATGGGGATATTGTTATATAGGTTTTTTAAATTTAAGTTTTTATCTTTTGGAGGTAAAGCAGGCAGGAAAAAAATTTCTACATTGATTTTTATTATGATTTCAGGGAATTCTGAACGTCAACAAACACAGAGCACAAATAGAAGCTTTTGTGCGACTTCAAGGAGCCAGCAGTAAAGATTCAGGTTCAGTATAAACCTTACATAAATCTCCATACTAGCTTTTCATTCTGATACTACCCAATGAAGAAAGCAAAGTTGAAGTTGTCACATCGTATATGCCATGTCAGATATCCCCATGTATACTGGGCGTGTAGGATCATGAGTTGATTTTTTTTTCTTCTCTAACTTTTTGTTGATAATTTCTGAATTTATTGTCAGAAACTTTAAAAATTATAATAGCTAATATTTTATTGAGTGGTTGCTATACACTAGGTACTTTTCTGAACACTTAACATAGGTATTATTGTTTTCCACCTTTTCTACATGAGGATACACAAGGCTACACGTGAGGAAACTAAATTCCAGGGAAGCACAGTAACTTGCCCAAGATCAACAGTTGCTGAGTGGGGGGCTGAGACTGCCACTGAGGCAGCCTGACCATGATTTTAAGACATTGCCCTGAATTGCCTCAATGTGCTATATTACCTCATTGGAATCACTAAAAAGGTATAAAATGAAGAAAATATGTAAATAAGTTGAATGATGGAGTCTACGTCCTACTTATACAATGACAAGGTGCAGAAAACCCTGACTGTCAGGGAGCATGGCTGGGCTGAAGGAGAATGAGACGCAATGGCTTTCTCGGGGCTTTTGCTCATCAGAATCCCCACCCCCCTTCCCCCGCCCGCCGCCACACACACACACACACACACACACACACACACATACACACACACACGTCAGTGCTGCAGTATCCATAGTTCATCAGCCTGCTGGCCTCGCCCTGGCTGCGTGGCCCCTGCAGGTGTGTGACAGAATCCCAATGTAGGCTTACATGGTCTCATGTAGGGAACTGTTACCTATTTTAAAGGATGATTGAAGGTGATCCTTTATGAAAGCACATTATAGAGTATGACATGGTGGCTCTGTTTCTTCATTCCTAGCCTGTGGAACAAAATAAAGAAGTTTGACCTATTTTTTTAAAGAAGGAGGCTTTTCTTTGTAGGAAAGCTGATTAGACCTCAGATATATTATGTTCGAAGCACCTCCCTGGTGTGGCACCCCCCTTGACTTTACAGGGTTTCTCTGTGCTATCCCAAACACAGATTTAGTTAGCGACATCCTCATCCACGGGATGAAGGCTCGAAACCGCTCGATTCATGGAGACATGGTGGTTGTGGAACTGCTTCCTAAAAGCGAATGGAAAGGAAGAACCGTTGCCTTGTGTGAGAACGACAGTGATGACAAGGCCACAGGGGAGTCCCCCAGCGAGCCCATGCCCACAGGTGAGCCAGCTGGAAGTCCCACAGTTACCCGTTTTTCTTGTGAAATGTTTATTTTGCCTCTCCTCAACAATCCAGAAATTTCGCAATTATTAATACATGATATCGGCTCTTTTCCTACATTATCAGCTTCCCCTCTCTGCAGGTTTATTTTATTCTCATCAGCACCCAAATATGCTGCAGTATCTCCCATCTTAAAACAAAAACAAAACCCCCCTGAGCCCCACATCCCCTGCAGCTACCACCCTTTTCTCTGCTTCAGTTTGTGGCGAGACTCAGTGAAACAGTTAACTTGCATTCTCTCTGTGTCTTCTCTGCCCATTTTCTCCCAAAGACACTACATTCAGGTGCGTCCCCCACCCCCCACCCTAAAAAGAAAACCTTGACCTCTTGTCAAAGTCACCAGCGACCTCGTTGCCAGCAGTCCTTGGCATATGTAGCCTGTTGGTAGCAGTTGGCCTGTGGACCACATCCTCGTCTTTGGCTTTGGGTTCTTCCCTCCCCTGCAGGTTGCTCCCCCTCAGGTCCTTTGCTGGTTCCTCTCAGCCTATTGTCTGTCCTCTTGCATGCACCTGGCCCCTCTCTGGATCTCTTTCTCCTGCGCGCTCTCCATAGGGGCGCTCGTTCAGTCTGGCTTTCTATCCCCAGCCCAGACACCTTTAGCCTCCAGTCTTGTCTACTCGGTTGTTCATTTGGCATCTTCCCCTGGATGTCTAATGGGCATCTCAAACTTAACATGCCTAATAACAAATTCCCTATTTCCACCCCCAAACCTGCTCTTCCCTGAGTCTTCCCCATCTCCGTAAGTAGCATGTTCACTTTACATTGGTCAACCCAAAGACCCTGGAGTCATCCTTGAATTTTCTTTCACACGTCAGCGAGTCCTAGCATCTGCAACTGAACTCAGCCACTCTGTCCTCCACCACTTCTCTCCTAATTGGGTCCACTAGAACTCCTTGGTGAGATTTCCCCAGCAGCCTCCTCGCTGGTCTCCTGCTCCCACCCTTGCTCCCAGATAGTCTTTTCTCCACACAGAAGTCACTGTGGTCCTTTTAAAAATCTAGGTCTTGCCACATCTCCACTCAAGATTTTCCAATGGCTACTTCCTGTTTCTCTCAATAAAATCCAAAGTCCCTACTCTGGCCTACAAGGTCCTGCCAGTGCAGGCTGCCTGCCATCACTGTCCTCTTCACCATTCTGCTCCTGCCACGTTAACCAACTTGTCCTTCCACCACCGGAAACAGGCTGTCCCCACACACCCTCACACCTCCTTTTCTCACTTCAAGTCTCTGCTCACATGTCACTTTATTTAAAGTAACTGCTACTTCTGACCCTTTATTACTCTGCGTCACCTTACCCTACTTATATCTTTCTTAGCAATCTTTACTATCTCGCATATATTTATTGTGTTCACTGTTTCCCAGCCCTACAGACACCCAGACTACAATGTACACTCCAGGAAACCAAGGACTTTGTTTTGATACTGCTAAATTTCCTGTACCTATCACAGGATGATTGCTGATAGAGGCTCAATAAATGTTTATGAAAAGAAAAGATAGCACTTTTTAAAAATATATTTTTATTAATTTCAGAGGAGAAGGGAGAGAGAGATAGAAACATCAATGATGAGAGCGAATCATTGATTGGCTGCCTCCTGCACACCCCACACTGGGGATTGAACCCGTAAACGGGCATGTGCTCTTACTGGGAATCAAACTGTAACCTCCTGGTTCATAAGTCAATGCTCAACCACTGAGCCACTCTGGCCAGGCAAAGGCAACATTTTTAAATACTAAAACTTGTTTTTTTCAGTCAGTGATGTTTAAAAGTGTTGTGTATCAGACTTAAGTGATTTGTATCCTTTTCTGTATATCATGTTGAGCCAAGCAATCTTGGCCGGTGGGAAAATGCAAGAAAAATAGTAAAAATGCCCAGTAGAGGGAGTGGGTTTAAAAAATACCCAGTCAATGAAAATCATTCACTTTTCCCAACATACCTGAACCTGAGGTCACTAAGGTAAGAACAAAAGAGAAAGTGGGACTAAGGGATTCTAAATGTCACATCAGGCCCCTCAGAAGAAAGGGCATACTGCCAATGTTATTAAAAAAAATTTTTAGCCCTAGCCGGTTTGGCTCAGTGGATAAAGCATCTGCCTGCAGATTGAAGGGTCCCAGGTTCAATTCTGGTCAAGGGCACATGCCTGGGTTTTAGGCTCCATCCCCAGTGTGGGATGTGCAGGAGGCAGCTGATCGATGATTCTCTCTCATCACTAATGTTTCTATCTCTCTCTCCCTTTCCCTCTCCCTCTCAGAAATCAACAAATACATATTTTTAATTTTTTAAAAATCTATATTAACAATAAAATGCTAGGAAGGCAAATTTTAAGCATCTCTTGACGTGTGTGGATGTGCTTGAAAAAAAATGAGATGTTGTATTTCCTGCTTTTTTTCCTCACTTACTGCTAAACTTGTCTGAGTCCAAATAGGTGACATCTCACCACTTAAGGTTTTGTTTTGTTTTGTTTTGTTAAGAAATGAGTCTGTGGCCCTAGCCGGTTTGGCTCAATGGATAGAGCATCAGCCTGTGGACCAAAATGCCCCAGGTTCGATTCCGGTCAAGGGCACATGCCCGGGTTGTGGACTCGATCCTCAGTGGGGCACTTGTAGGAGGCAGCCGATCCATGATTCTCTCTCATCATGGATGTTTCTATCTCTCTCCCCCTCTGCCTTCCTCTCTGAAATCAATAAAAATGTATTTTTTTAAAAAAGAAGAAGAAGAAGGCATAAATTATTGATAGCATCTGGCATTTGAGATCCCATTTTTTTAAAATTCTAAATATATAGAACCATCTATTAAATAGTCCTTGGTTAATGAATGAAGGCCAGAGAGAAACCGTCCTAGAAAGAGCTGTGTAAGACAACCAGAGAGAACATACATTACCCAGCTGTCCAACACAGAAACTTTGAATGGATACACTGTGCCAACACTAACAAGCTTTCTTCTAGCAAGCGATATAGAAATACGATCACTGCCCTGTAGAGATGATATAGTGATACTTCACAGAATCGATTATCCATAAAGGAATATAGCACCAGAGAGAAGGCATAAACAAGAAAGTTAGAAATTAAACTTTTACTGTGGTGAACAGTGTAAGCATCACCCAATTTGATTAGCCTGACGTTTTGCTGTTTCTAAATGAGACAGTAACCTGGGCATTGTGTACCTTTACGTCTGGAAGCATTATACAGCTTCCTGAGGCCAGTTGGAAATACTGTTTTCCTTATCCATGGTTTGCTAGAACTGGGGAGCATTGGCGTCAATCACATTGATACCTTCTTCCCCACCAGAAGATGACTTAAGAAATAAAATAACTCCTACACACAAAAAATTAAGATTTTTGTTTTGGAATTTAATTTGGACTATGCATAAATGAATTATTTCCTTGTGTTGCAAATGTTAACTAAAATGTATTAGTAGGCTTTTTTAAAAAATAACCTTTCTTTAATAAACTAAAATATCCAGCCCATTTATTTGATGTAGAGAGGTGATGCCTTCCTCCCAAGCACTGTGCCAGGCATTTATATGCCATGTGGAAATTTGGTAAAACAGGAAGACCTGTTTTAAAAAATACACACCCGTTATTTGCAAATTGGCTACTTTTGGAGCTCAATGCGGTTTATCTCTTGTTTGTTTGGTGCTTCTAATTGATCCACTTACCTCCTGGCGCTGGGCTCATGGGTGGTGGTTGTTTTTTCTCTCCTTCGGTGCAGGACTTCAGGGTGGTTGTGCGCATTGATTCCTGGGAGTCGACATCCGTGTACCCAAATGGACATTTTGTGCGTGTTTTAGGAAGAATCGGAGATCTGGAAGGAGAAATTGCAACCATCCTGGTGGAAAACAACATTTCGGTTGCCCCTTTCTCAGAAGCTCAGGTCAGATTTCTCTGAGAACTTTGGTCGGGTGAAAGACATTTTGTGCATTTTCCTTTTGCCTTTGTTGTTGTTTGTTTCATCATTAAGAGAGAAAAAAAATCTTTGCACTGTCTAAAGCCACACACAATGAAAAATTCTCAATCTTCTTTATTCTGTTTGAACCAGACTGAAATCAGCTTCAAGTGCAGAGTTAGTTTCCTATAGCTTCACAGCTCTCAAATTTTTACATTTTCCAACTGTGCTTAAAAATGGCATGTCAGTATCTTATAGTCAGTATGCATCCATCCCCAGCAACTACACGGGTACCTAGTTACAGACCCACTGGGTTCTGCTCCCTGTCATAATCATTCACAGAGGCCTGCAGAAGGCTGCAGGAAGCAGCTCGTTGGGCTCCGTACATCTCTGATCCTGGGTAAAAAATATCCTGCTTATTATGAAACAGCTTTTGAAACCTTTACAGAAGACAAAACTTTCATGAACATAAAGCATCAGCTATTTTCATCACTTTGCAATCCTTTAAAATCCTCGTAAATCTTGTTTATTATTCTTGCATAGCTATATTCCTAGTGTGCACATACTATTTTCTGTTCTGCTTCTTTCAGTTAAAATTATTTTTATATATTGATGTAGCCTACTTATTTTTATTTTTTTAATTTGTCTTTATTGTTGAAAGTATTACAGATGTCCCTTTGTTTTTTGTTGTTTTTCCAATTGACTCCCTCCTGCCCACACCTGCCCGAGCCTACTTATTTTTAATAGTTATGGCAAATTATTGTATACTAGAGGCCCAGTGCAAGAAATTCGTGCGTGTGTAAGTCCCTAGTGGCTGCTGGCTGGGGCCTGCCTTCAATCTGCGTTGCCCCCTGGTGGTCAGCGCACGTCATAGTGAGCAGTCGAACTCCTGAGGGGACACTTTGCATATTAGGCTTTTATATATATAGGTTGATGTACTCTAGTTTGCTTAAGTGTTCCTCAGTTATTGGGCATTTGAGCTGTTTAATTTTTCAGTATTGTAAAAAATGCCATTTCAAATATGTACTTTTATAAACATTGTGTTTTTTTTCTTTTTAATCATTTTCCTTGGAATGTAATCCTTCAAGTGAGATTACCAAATCAAAGGACATAAAAAATTTAAATAGCTTTTGTTATGTATTGGCAGATTGTTCTTCAGAAAAATTGGACCAGTTTGCATTGCCATCAAGAGTATTGGGTGTTATTTTCAGTGGAATTTTGACAGATCAATAGATATATTAGAAAAATATTATAGAATATTTTACATTATTAAATTTTTATGTTTAACATTAGTTTTTAGAAATTATTTGTTGACTTGTTTCAGCTCATAGTGAAAATGTTAGAATACAATAAAGCATGGATTAGACTTACAGGACTAGAATTCTCTTCCCTTTTAGCCTACTTAACTACAAATTGATGGTTTAAGTGGGTAATAATGGAGAGAGAATATCCTAGATTGGTTCGGCTTAAATTATCTTTGAGGAATACCTTTTTT